GTGTGTGTGTGTGTGTGTGTGTGTGTGTGTGTGTGTGTGTGTGTGTGTTTTTCATGGTGGAGGGGGATGAAAAAATGAGGGAAAAAGGCCAGTAAAACAAAGAGAGGTTGTGTGAGAGACTCTCTCAGGAAACATTACTCTCTTTTTCTCTCTCGTTTTCTCTTCTCTCCGGCCCGGCTCCAGATCAAATCTGACAGACACTGAGAGACTGAAGGACGGAAGATCGTTAGAGGGAAAGAGTGACTGTTTGAGGATAAAGAATGATAGAAGACTTAAAATAGATGAACGCTAAATGGAAAGCAACTTTTCCCAGATATCACCTGAATTCAGTGCCTAGATGTGTAGTGCCTATATATAGTGCGCTGATAAATTACTATTACAGATATGCAGATTAAATATTTATAGTGAAAAAATATATTCATCTAATGTGCCTTCAATGCAATTTAATTTTAAATTAATTATTTACCCATTATGTTGTTAAAAACCCATATGCTGTTATTTCCCATGTAACTCAAAAGGGGAATTTCTGAAGAATCTTTACACATCTTTAATGGAGTCAGTTTAGGCATCATTGGAATTAAATATCACTCATTCTTGCGTGTCTTGTGACCAAATGTCATTGACAGCAAAGTAACTTATTTATTTATTTTTGAGCTTGATATGGTCATTATAAACTGTCAGTATGAGTCAGTATATGAGTTTTGAAAGAGAAATGTACATTTTGTGTGTGTGTGTGTGTGTGTGTGTGTGTGTGTGTGTGTGTGTGTGTGATTTATTAATTTAATCTAGATAAAGTTAAAAAAGAGCAGAATAGATATTAAATAAAACTACATTAGCCTAGACCAGTTTTTAGCCTAGTTCATGTTTATGATGGTTTTAAGAAGGATGGTTGGTTATCTCTATCTATCTATTTATCTATCTATCTATCTATCTATCTATCTATCGTCTGTCTGTCTGTCTGTCTGTCTGTCTGTCTGTCTGTCTGTCTGTCTGTCTGTCTGTCTGTCTGTCTGTCTGTCTGTCTGTCTGTCTGTCTGTCTGTCTGTCTGTCTGTCTGTCTGTCTGTCTGTCTGTCTGTCTGTCTGTCTGTCTGTCTGTCTGTCTGTCTGTCTGTCTGTCTGTCTGTCTGTCTGTCTGTCTGTCTGTCTGTCTGTCTGTCTGTCTGTCTGTCTGTCTGTCTGTCTGTCTGTCTGTCTGTCTGTCTGTCTGTCTGTCTGTCTGTCTGTCTGTCTGTCTGTCTGTCTGTCTGTCTGTCTGTCTGTCTGTCTGTCTGTCTGTCTGTCT